CTGCGGGGGTCGCAATTTTCCTGCTCCCCCAACCGGAAACCCATCATTGAATTCCAGGTCTAATTTCACAGATGGGTTCTCCTTCCCGCATACCCCTCCTGGTTCCTGCCAAAAAATAAAAAATAAATAAAGTCCTCGTTCTTCTTCTTCAAGCACATACAACTTTAGGATGAGCAGAGAACCTGTATCGTTTTTTTTTTATTATCAAGCAATGTCGGGTAAATAAAAAAGGCTGTGTTAGGAATCAGTGTCATCAAACTTGGATTCTATTATTGACTTCCAGGTCTAATTCGACAGATATAGGTTCACATTCCTGCATACCCCTCTTGGTTCCTGACAAAAATAAAATAAAATAAAAATAGAATAAAGCCCTTGTTATCCTTCTCCAATTACATAAAACTTGAGCATGAAAAGATAAACTTGCATCCTATTTTTGTGTCAAGCAACAATGGGTGAACACAAATGGGCTGTACACTATTAGGAATCAGTGTCATCAAACTTGGATCCCATCATTGAATCTCAGGTTTAATTTCCCAGATGGGTTCCCCCTTCCTGAATACCCCTCCTGGTTTCTGCTAAAAATAAAATAATAATAAAATAAAGTCCTTGGTATGCTTTTTAAGTACATAAAACTTTTGCGTCAGTCAGCAATTTGCATATTTTTTTCAACCAATATTGGCTACACACAAAAACAGTAGGGTATATTAGGAATCAATGTCATGAAACTTGGATCCTTTCTTTGAATTCCAGATCTAATTTCACAGATTGGTTCTCCTTCCTGCATATCCCCCCTGGTTCCTGCCGAAAAATAAATAAAAAAGTTCTTGTTATCCTTTTTAAGCACATAAAACTTTAGCATGAGCAGAAAACTTGCATTCTTTTTTTTTTGTCAAGTGTAAGAGGATGAATACAAATAAGATGTATATTATAGGAATCAGTGTCAATAAACCTGGATAATTTAAGATTGATTCTCCTTCCTTGATCACACTCCTGGTTCCTGCAAAAAATAAAATAAATAAAAATAGAATCAATTCTTCCTTATCCTCTTTTGAGCACATAAAACTTGAGCATGAGTATAAAACTTGCATCTTTTTGGTCAAGTAATAGTGGCTAAACACAAATAGGGTGTATTATAGGAATCAGTGTCATCAAACTTGGATCAGAAGTTATCACTTGAATGGTGGAAAAGTTGGATGCTTGCATTCAGGCCTTGGTTTTGTGGGTGTTCAGAGGAGGAGAGGGGGGGGGGGTTTGATAGAGGCTCAGGACCTGGTTTTTGAGCCAGAGGATGAAAGGATGCCTGCAAGTTCTTGGGGGTGGTGTTTGCTGGGGGTCCTGCTTAGCATACATATGATGATCCCTTGGACAGCTGGCCCATGCTGAGGTTTTATTGCTTTGGGCCCCGCCTTGTTGCTGGGCCCAATGATGCAGGGGGTCATGGCAAATATCCCTGGGATTCATACCTTCCAGAGGATCCTGCCAAAGGGTCGTCCTTTGCAAAAAAAAAAAGAAAACTTTCCACTTTGACAATCCAAACCCCTCCATCTTTCCTCTTGTCTAGAGTTGATATGCTAATCTATAAAATTGTTTGATGCAGTGCACTCTGGAATCACTGAATCCTGGTGGGCCTCTTCCTATCAATTGTTGAAAATTATTTATACTGTAAATCATTATTTTTGAAATATACTTTTTTAGGTTTTTTAGCCCAGTGTTCCTCAACCTTTTTGGGCCTGTGGACCTTCAAATGTTCATAAGATTGTTTGCTGACTGGCAAAGTTTTCTAAAATTTTTGCACACTCAAAAATTTTTTTGCTGAAATACTTTTTGGCAAGTATTGTAACAGTTTCTGCTTTTCTGCAAAAAAAATTCACTTTTGAGAATCAATGAAGCAGGTATAAATGAATGTCTTAAAAAATTAGAAAGGTCGGCTTGAACCAAAATTTCTTAGAATGAAATATTAAAATAATTTATTTCATTTGGTGAAAATTTGTCTGAAGTGTTTTATTAGGAGAAAAGCCAATTTTTATTTTTCATGAGACAATTTTAACTGAAATTGTCTTCTAAAAATTTCAGATAAAGATACTGTAATGTCATTCAAAGATAGTTTTGATAAATTCATTATGCTTGAGAAAATTTCCTGTGGACCAGCCAAAAATGTCTGGGGACTGGCAATGGTCTGCAGACCATGGGTTGGGGAACACTGTTTTAGACAATATCCGCATTCCTGACATGAAGATTTAAAGATGCACTGCAACTACAGAACTTAACTCTTCCACAGCAAATCCAGTTTTTTTTACTTGCATCCAGGCATTTAAAATAAGCTTGTTGAATGTAGCTAAAATCTGGAAATATTTGAATTTAATTTAGGTTTTATTGCTTTGGGCCCCGCCTTGTTGCTGGGCCCAATGATGCAGGGGGTCATGGCAAATATCCCTGGGATTCATACCTTCCAGAGGATCCTGCCAAAGGGTCGTCCTTTGCAAAAAAAAAAAAAGAAAACTTTCCACTTTGACAATCCAAACCCCTCCATCTTTCCTCTTGTCTAGAGTTGATATGCTACTCTATAAAATTGTTTGATGCAGTGCAATCTGGAATAACTGAATCCTAGTGGGCCTCTTCCTAACAATTGTTTTAAATTATTTATAAATCCTTATTTTTGAAACACACTTTTTTAGGTTTTTTAGCCCAGTGTTCCTCAACCTTTTTGGGCCTGTGGACCTACAAATGTTCATAAAATTTTTTGCCGACTGGCAAAGTTTAAAAAATTTTCTGCAAACTGGCAACATTTTGTAAAAGTTTTTCACACTCAAAAACGTTTTTCCTGAAATACTTTTTGGCAAGTATTGTAACAGCTTATGCTTTTCTGCAAAAAAAATCCCTTTTGAGAATCAATGAGGCAGGTATGAATGAATGTCTTAAAAAATTAGAAAGGTGGGCTTGAACCAAAATTTCTTAGAATGAAATATTAAAATGATTTATTTCATTTGGTGAAAATTTGTCTGAAGTGTTTTATTAGGAGAAAAGCCAACTTTTATTTTTCATGAGATAATTTTAACTGAAATTGTCTTCTTAAATTTCAGATAAAGATACTGTAATGTCGTTCATAGATAGTTTTGATAAATTCATTATGCTTGAGAAAATTTTCTGTGGACTGGCCAAAAATGTCTGGGGACTGGCAATGGTCTGCAGACCATGGGTTGGGGAACACTGTTTTAGACAATATCCGCATTCCTGACATGAAGATTTAAAGATGCACTGCAACTACAGAACTTAACTCTTCCACAGCAAATCCAGTTTTTTTTACTTGCATCCAGGCATTTAAAATAAGCTTGTTGAATGTAGCTAAAATCTGGAAATATTTGAATTTAATTCTCTGTTCAAAAAAGTTTTGATGGAGTGAAGGAAGCTCTTCCAAGGCAGCATTCCTTCAACCTTCAGCCATAATATAGATGACCATTGACTATTTTCATGGCTTGATTTATGCAAAAAATGTTGGACTTGGGTCACTCTTTTGAGCTGCCATTTGGTTGACCTTTGGTGAAACCAAAATGTGCTAGTGTTCATAAAAAATTCAGGCACTCTCATGGAGTGGGAAACAATCCTCTTCTGTTCAAGGGTTGAAATAAAACTCAATCATGTTCCAAAATCAGATGACCATTGACAATTTTTAAGGTGATGGATGATTGTGAGGCAAGGAGGATTTTTCATTGTTTCATTATTTTCAGATGAGTTTGGGGGTTTCCAGGGGAGAAACGTCATGAAAAAGAAACATGAGGATGATAAGTTGATTATTTCTCGATGATTGATTGATTGATGCATTCAATCAATGAATTCCTGCTGCTTTATTTCCGCAAATGATAAATGTTTTGCTTGAATGACACTTTATATCATTAGATAGAATGTCCTGTACACCATATTTATGCACTGATGACATATTTGCCTTTTGGCTTGAAAAATAACTTCTTCATGATGTAAGTGATTTTTTTTTCTATTGCATCCCTTAAAAAAAAAAAAAAACCTGAAGTCTTTTTCCGTCCTCACATATTTCAAACCAATGGCATTCTTCAACTTTTCTCTAAAATGAGAAAGCAATGACAGAAATTTATTTTATATCTATGTGATCAGAATAAGACGTTATTTGAATGATTTAAAATCTTCCGTCGCTGATTGTTTCTCGTATTGATGGGAAAAAAATTCTCGTACTTAATTTTCAGCAGTAAGAATGTTTTTCAAGCCAACCCTTTCGACATGAAATCTAATGCCAGGACTATTTCTCAGGCTAGTCCATGATTTTATAAGTTTTCATCTGACGCTAAACTCGAGCAAGGATCATGAACTTCACCAAGTGGGTCATTTCTTCCATGCCCATGACGGAAATATCCTCGGATTCCAGGACATCACTATAATTAAATTCCGGTTGACACGGAGACAAAGAAATAAAATGTGGGGGAAAAAAACAAGTTGAAGTTTTTAAGAAACAGGATTTGAAGGTGTTTTATGACCTCCGGCAGCATTTTTTCTCTCCCCTTCACACGGTTTCCTTGAATAGAAAATGGATAAATCAGTGAATGAATTTCTTTTTAAAGACCAAAAAAAAAGAAAGACTACGCTTACCAGTGATTTACAGCCCGAAAAGACCTTTTTTCCAAAGTCGTGAATCAGTTCATGGTCACGCCCAAGTTTTCACTTTATTTTATTCATTTATTTTTGTGTGTGTTTCTTTCCTATACGAGTTTATATTTTCCGTTTTACGGCTTCCAGCTTCCAAAGGTTTCCGTTGCTAATTTGTTCAATTTTTTAGACAGTCGGCAGGTGGATTTGTGATGCTCGAGAGAAAATTTCTAGTGTTTTTATGGTCGCGCGTTTTTTTCTCTCTTTTGCATAGGATAGAAAGAAAAAAGGAGGGAATTTTCGAGAAAAGAGACAGAAAAATCTCGGAGGAAATGAATCTTTTTCCTGGAGTTTTATGCGAGTCCAAAGGGGAGGAGATTTTTACTGCCTCTGGGTTTCTCCGCACCGAAAAGAAAGAAACAAAATGGGGGAATTGATTGGAGGAAAATGGTGGATCAGGTTTTCCAGCCTGGAAAAAAGCAGTGCGTGTGTGTGTCTGGAAAGTGTCCTGAGGTACCCCAGACAAAAAAAAAATAATAATCTGAATATTCATTGGAATATAAGGAAGAGAGAAAAAAACTGGAGCAGGATGATTGGAGGGTTTCAGAGGTTCCCTGCCAGTTGAGGAATGGAGGATACAAAAGAACCTGGGGAATAATTTATTGCTGTGGATGCTGATGAGAAAACAGGCTGTTGTGTCCTGGTGATGCTGAGGAAGAATTTTTTGGTTGGTGGGGGAGGCAGAATAAAATGTTCAGGCTTGAAAATATTTCTTTCTTTTTTTTTCCAAACTTTTATTTCTTCCTTTTCTCCTGGGTTGTTGACTCCTGTCCCTTAGCCCGAGGGAGACATCAGTCACTCTTGATTTCAATTTTACCTTTTTTGTTTATTTATTTATTTTCTTTTATAGGTGCAGAAGCAATATATTCCACATGTTCCCATTCGAGTGACTGAAGTTCACATTCATGTGTGCTTTCTTTGTGAACAGTTAGCCAAAAAGGAAAGGCTTCTTTGTCGATGTCGAAAGGTTCTTTTCTTCCCGGGCCAATTGATCTGATGGGCTTTGAAACCACCAAAATGGGAAACGCAAATCCAAAGGATTTTGAAATTTTCGTGCAATTCAATTTACCCCAGAAACACGCTTAGAAAGATTTTTTTGTAAGCATTGCGGAAATGTACGGTTTTGATGCACTTCTTTGCAAAAAGTATTCGATATTTCAGCAACAGCGGAATTGCATCACGAAATATAAAATAATAGCAAATTTCTCCGTGTGTAAATTATTAAGAGACCAAAGATAAATTTCGAACTTTGGCGTCAGTATAAAAAATAGTATATGGGCTTAAAATCGCAAAATTCCGTACAAAAAAAATCGACTAAAAAGTTTTCTGATTCACCTATAATCCAAGTGACCAGAATAAGTTCGTTTTAGAGGGAATTTTGTCGTAGAGAACACTTTTAACCTGGGGAGAAAATCCTTTGGGACCAGAAAAAAATGCGTTGTAGACAAGATCATTGGAGAGAAAGTCCGACTGAAATTTACCTTTGGGCACCAAATTTTGTTTCCCAAAAGCCAGCGTTGGATAATAAAAAAAAATTCTCAGAGATCTCGAAAAAAGTATAATTTTTAAAATGTTTGCTGGGTTTCGTATGGACGAAGATTTTGGAACCAGTTACAAACGTGCTGTGATGAAATCCATTTCCAAATCAACAATCAACTGGTATTAGGTGAAAAATGTTGAATCAGTCTGCGAGAGATGCTCAAACATTCGGGCGTTTTGAAAATTTTGGGAACTTGTCAAACTTTTTTTCAACGCACTCTAAAGTTCATCGAATCCACGATCTGCATATCTTTGCGAATATGCAATGAAACAAATTATTTGAATTGCTTTTCAATCACTGTTTCTTCGCAGCCCAATTATTTGGCACTGAATCTGCTAAAAGAAGCTTTCATTTGAATACTGTACACCAAACTTTCGAACGCGGCAAAATTTCCCAAATGTCGCTGTCAATTCAAGCGATTGAAGAGGTGCAGAATTCCCGTGTCACCGAGATCCATCGGGCAAAAAATAAATCCTATCCACAAATACGGAAAGAAAACGGTTTTTTTTTGTATGTGTGTGGATATGAGAAGGAGCAGTGAAGTGATGGACGAGAGAAGAAAAATAAAGACAACCTGACGCGGACTCTTTTGAAAGGAGACATTTTCAATCAGTGTTTGCGTGGTGTTCTTATTTTATTCTATTACTTTTATTCCTCCCTCTCCCTTGAAAGTTTCAGTGGCTGTCTGCTGCAGGAGGGGAGGACTTATTTATTGCAAGCAGGTCTCTTTTGGTGTGTCCTGCTGTGGTGGATTGATGACTAGACATCAACCCCTGGGTTTTTTGCCTGCTTTTTTCTTCTCTGTCCCCTCCCTCCCTCCCTCTCTCAACTCACCTGATGTGCCCTGTCCCTACCCTCCCACTCTCTCTCTCTTAATCCTGTAAAGAATCCAGCTGTCAATCCAAAGCCTGCAAGTCCAATTTTTGTGGGGAAAAAAAAACCATGACAGTAGCAAAAGAATTTCCTGATATGGCGGTGCTGGTGAAAACAGACAGACCACAACAAAAAAGGAGGTTAGAATAAAGAAAAAGGAGCCGGAGGATATTTTGGAAATCGACATGAAACTTGATTCATGGAGATGAAAAGCGCTTTTTTTCCATCACCGCAACTGGAGTCATTAAAAAACAGTGAGAATATTTCCAGTGTGAAATTTTAGTGCCCCGGGGTTGTGATTGCATGAGCCTCTTTTTTTATGGGAAGGGGGTTATTTTTACGCGGTCGTTGCTTTCTGCTGGGGGCCCAGGAAAGTCGAGAGGCTTTTCTTTTTTTTTTAATTGCGATTTTGGCAACTCGGCATTTATTTTTGCTCAGTCGGGGCCCCTGAGCAATCATTTGTTTATGAACGCTTTCCGGGGCTTGCGTTTTTATAGTTATTCTTGCCTGATTAGCGTCCCGTGGGTGAGGGAGGTGGGCGGGAGAATGACTCCCGTCTTTGACCAGGTGCAGCTTTTACCTGACCCATTTCCCACTTTTTAACCATTGGGTGGCAAAGTTGGACTATTTTTGCAACAAACAGGCTGAAGACCTTGTGCTTTAAATAAACTTTTACTGCTGCTTTGTCTTCAATATTGGGGATGGGTGGGTGTATGCAACATACGCGTAGGATATCCAGTTTTTATTTTGTGGAGTGTGTTTTCTTTTGTCCTGCCATTCGCTGCAGAGAATCGAATTTCTGGTACTTGATTATGTCTGGAGAAGACGGGTTTTCTCACCAGTCCTTCCGCTGCAGCAGTACTTGGAGTAAACGAAGTCATTTCAAGACACTGGGTTTGGATGCGGGAGTTTTGGTTGTACCTTGTGAACGCTGAAAAGCGGCAAATAAAGTTTTCTGTTCATTCATTCATTTTTGCAAAATTTTGTTGCATCTTGGAGAGGAAAAGAAAAAAACGACAACAGGGAGTTGAGGACAAAGTCAGGAAAAATCCTGATGTTTTTTTCTTTTTGCTCAGAAAAGTTTTGCAGGAAAAAAAAATGGTATGTTATGCAACAGGCTTTTTGCGGATTAAATCCCAACTTTGCCTCAGCACACCTGGAATGGCTTTTCTGATCTTCAGAAAACTTAAAACGCCCCAGCAGACAAAAATAATCCAACTTTCGCCAGCATTGGGAAAGAACCTTCTGCAATCCAAGGGTTTAAAAAAGAATTCATGCTAAAATCACAGAACAGACTTGAAAAGTACAGTACAGTCTACCCCCGCACAAAATACCTCTTGCAAAACAGTTTTTTGCAGAACAGACTGCCTCTGGAGGTGGTTTATCCTTTTGCATAACAGACAAAATCCGCATAACAGACTTCAGTCTGTAGAAGTGTGTGTCACCAGTGGACATGAGTGCATCACTACTTTGCCACTTGCTTCCCAGCTGAATTTGCATAAAAGACTTTTCATGCAACAGACTAGCCTGATGCACAAATTAAGTCTGTTGTGCGGGGTTTGACTGTAGTATACAACAAAGAGTTGAGAAATGTGTCCACAAAAAGTTGAAAACCTAAACCCATTTGATCTGCTGGTGATCACATTGGGGAACTTCTTAGATGAAGCTCCATGATAAAATTATTGTATTTACTCAAAACATATATGTAGAACAGCATTACAGCAAATTTCATTATAATAAACAATTGATTATAACAAAGTCATTCATCATTTATCCCTGCCAAATAGTCTGAATACTGTTTGCTGAAAGGGTTCCATCATGACAAGTTTTGGTTAAAATGAAGCTACAGTTGAACATCTCCAAGTCAAATTTCAAGGGACTAGCATAAAGATTTGACTTAGCAAGATTTCCAGTTAAGGAAACAAGCAATTTTGTTGTGGAAAGATAGAAAATAATCAAGAAATTGTTAATGGTGATATTCTGCGCCTTAAATTGCTTCTTGAACGAGTTAACAGGTTGCTGAACTTGGGAGCAATGATTCATCTGCCAAATTACTTTCTTCCTTTCTGTTCAAAACACATTAACTTACTTGTTCTTGCCGTTCTCTTTCCTGTGTCAAGAAAAACATAATGACCAAAAGGCCTTAAAAATTCAAGTTTGGGAGGTCTGTGAGGAAAGTCTTGAAGCTAGAGAGGTTTTCACTACAGTACATTGTTCCTAAGGTAATTCAGACAGGGACTTGCAAATTATTTTTATTCAGGAAGATATTCAACTTGGGACGGTTTGAATTATCAAGATTCAACTATATTCCACTGGGAAATATAATAATATATATATACATATATTAAAATTATAATATATATATTCTATATTCTGCTACTGCTTTTCAATGTAAAAAGCTTGCAGTTGATGAGAACGGATCCACTGCTGGTGTACGGATAACCCCTGCGCGCATGCCCCACACTGATCTCAGTTCGGAAAAGAGGGAGGGAGATATAGTATATATCCATACAAAATACAGAGAAAAGAGAGACAGAGAGACAGGAAAAGAGAGGGAGCACGAGAAAATATTTTTTTTAGTTTTCTTTTTGTCTACCTGGGACGGGGTGCCCCGGGTCACGTATTTGCGCCACGGCGTTCATGAAGCGTTTCGAGCGGTGGTGGGGGAGGGGGGGAGCCCGTGGACTTGTTTTTGGGGGCACCACGTACAGAAGAAAGAAAGAAATAAAGAAAGAAGCAAGGAAGGAATAAAAGCGGCATTCTCTTCACTTGTTGTCAACGTGTTCTTTTTTCTTTTGCGCGCAGCACCGTCTTTACTGCCGTTATTTTTACCAAAGCCGCGCGCCCTCTCTTACTTATGTACTCTACTCTTTTTCCATATCCCTTTAAACAGGGAAAGAGAGAGAGAAAAAGAGAAAGACAGGTTTAGGATGGAAAACTAGGGAAAATTTTAACAACTTGGCGGACTTTTACACTCCACTGGTGGGGGTCGGTTGTGTCTTGTGTTTTGTGTGTGTATGTGTGTGTGTGTATGTGTAAGTGCTGGGTACCTTTCTGTAAAAGTGCCTTGGTGCACAGCAGAGAGTCTGCTGCTGTTGCTGATGCTTTGCTGGACTGGCCAGCAAAAGAAAAAAAAGGGGGGGGCGGATGCGTTTTTGTTTGAGTATTTCAAGTCTGGCTTGGAACGCCTTCTACACCCACAAATACAGTACTTACCCAAGTACCAAGCACCATTAGGTGAGACAGCATCCATCATAATTTTTAAAAAGACCAAAAACCTTTTCCATGTAAGACAAACACCTCATTTTCCATTAAATTCAAAGACTCTCAATGAAATTCAAGGGACCAGAAATTGTTTTTTGTACAGGCAAAAATGTATTGTCAAGAACCCTGATTACNCTGTTGTACAAATTAAGTATCTTGTGCAGGGGTTTGACTGTATTATTCAACAATCAGTGGAGAAATGTGCCCACAAAAGGTTGAGTGAAAATCTAAACCTATTTTATCTGCTGGCAAACACATCAGGGAACTTCTTAGATGAAGCTCCATGATGAAACTATTGTATTTACTCAAAATACATAAGTATAGAATATCATTTGAAAAATCTCATTATAATGAACAATTGAGTATAACAAAGTCATGCTTAATTTATCCCTGTCAAATGGTCACAATGATGTTTGCCAAAAGGGTTCCATCATGACAATTTTTGGTTAAAATGAAGCTACAGTTATTCAACATCTGAGAGTCAAATTTAAAGGGACCAGCAAAAATATTTGACTTAGCAAGATTTCCTGGTAAGAAAACCAGCATTCTTGTTGTGGAAAGATAGAAAAATTGTCAAGAAATTACAAATGGTGATATTCTGGGCCTTAATTTGCTTCTTCAATGAGTTAACAGGTTGCTCAACTTGGAGACAGGGATTTGCCTGCCAAAATGATCCTTCACTTTCTTTTCAAAACACATCAACTTACTTTGTACCGTATTGCCTTTCTCTAACCTGTGTTAAGAAAAATATTAATAACCAAAAGGCCTCAGAAAATGCAAGTTAGGGAGGTCTGAGAGGAAAGCCTTGAAGCTAGAGAGGTTTTTACTGCATTGTTTCTGAGGGAATTCAGACAGGGACTTGCAAAATTTTTTTTAATTTAAGAAGGTTTTCAACTTAGGAGGGTTTGAATTATCAAGATTCAACTATATTCCTCTGGGGAATTTAATAATAATTATAATTATATATATACATATATTATATATTCTACTACTGCTTTTCAATGTAAAAAGCTTGCAGTTGATGAGAACGGATCCACTGCTGGTGTACGGATAACCCCTGCGCGCATGCCCCACACTGATCTCAGTTCGGAAAAGAGGGAGGGAGATACAGTATATATCCATACAAAATACAGAGAAAAGAGAGACAGAGAGACAGGAAAAGAGAGGGAGCACGAGAAAATAAAAAAAATCAAAAGAAAAACAGATGGACCCTGCCCCACGGGGCCCAGTGCATAAACGCGGTGCCGCAAGTACTTCGCAAAGCTCGCCACCACCCCCTCCCCCCCTCGGGCACCTGAACAAAAACCCGGCACCACGTACAGAAGAAAGAAAGAAATAAAGAAAGAAGCAAGGAAGGAAGGAATAAAAGCGGCAAAGAGAAGTGAACAACAGTTGCACAAGAAAAAAGAAAACGCGCGTCGTGGCAGAAATGACGGCAATAAAAATGGTTTCGGCGCGCGGGAGAGAATGAATACATGAGATGAGAAAAAGGTATAGGGAAGAAACAGGGAAAAAGAGAGAGAGAGAAAGAGAAAGACAGGTTTAGGATGGAAAACTAGGGAAAATTTTAACAACTTGGCGGACTTTTACACTCCACTGGTGGGGGTCGGTTGTGTCTTGTGTTTTGTGTGTGTGTGCGTGTAAGTGCTGGGTACCTTTCTGTAAAAGTGCCTTGGTGCACAGCAGAGAGTCTGCTGCTGTTGCTGATGCTTTGCTGGACTGGCCAGCAAAAGAAAAAAAAAGGGGGGAGCGGATGCGTTTTTGTTTGAGTATTTCAAGCCTGGCTTGGAATGCTTTCTACACCCACAAATACAGTACTTACCCAAGTACCAAGCACCATTAGGTGAGAAAGTATGCACCATGATTTTTAAAAAGAACAAAAACCTTTTCCATGTAAGACAAACACCTCATTTTCCATTAAATTCAAAGACTCTCAATGAAATTCAAGGGACCAGAAATTGTTTTTTGTACAGGCAAAAATGTATTGTCAAGAACCCTGATTACTCAAAAACCTTTTCCATGTAAGACAAACACCTCATTTTCCATTAAATTCAAAGACTCTCAATGAAATTCAAGGGACCAGAAATTGTTTTTTGTACAGGCAAAAATGTATTGTCAAGAACCCTGATTACATGTGGAAAGAATCATATGGGACCAAAAACAAATATGTTATACAGAGAACATTCTTATAGACAAGATTGTTCTAGGGAGAGTCCACCTACATATTTATTTCAGTGAAATTGCATTGCAAAAAATAGCATTTAGGAACTGGGTGAATTTTTTTTTTACATGAAAGCATTCTTATGGCCAGCAAAGTCAAATAATGTTGTGGCTATTGTGCAGGGATCATGAAAAAGTATATTTAAACATTCAGATGTAAGTGAAAAAAATTGATTCAATATTGCTTTGCATTTTTCCTTGTTCATCAATATTCATTTTTTAAGTTGATCTTATACTGTATTTAGATGAACCTCTCCCAAATAAATTCTTCATCTTTTTTGGATATAAGGGATTCAAGGAAGATGCATGCCAAAATTGAAAATATTGTGCAGAAATCTTTTTGTGTTTATAACAAGAATAATGTTCTTTGATTTGAATTCTTCAAAAAAAGGGGGCACAGTACTTTTGTAAACCGGTATGAAAACAAATGCATTCAAAAAGGTATAGGCCACACTTTTTTGTTGAGTCTTGAACAGCAGAGACAGAATATATTTATTCTGCAATGTTTTTTTCCACAAAGATGTTTGAAATTCTAAAATGTCAACCTGAAGATTACAACCAAAGTCAAAGACTGCTAATTTTTTTTATCTAGCCATAGATCATATTTGAAGAAAGAATTTTCCCCAAGTTCCACTTTCCTCTAAAAAAAAATGATGTGTAATTTTTCCAACAGCAATAGAAACACAACCAGAGATTTTTAAACTTTAATAATCTAGTTGATGCTGCATTTTGGTGATCTTTGGAAAATTCAAAATGTGAATTTTCTGCAAAGCTCCTGCAAAGCAAAAATATTCTGTCTTTCTCATGCAATAGAAAAGGACCGTATATGTCAGCTAAGTATTACAAATGGCCTAAATGAACTCCATTGCTTTATCTCATAATTTTGAGTCAAAAAAGGCCAAGTTTTTTGGATTGAGTTGTGATTTGTATTTGAATCCATCCAGTACAGTATACACATAAAAACCAAGAAAGTGTCTTGAAATGACTTCGTTTACTCCAAGTACTGCTGCAGCGGAAGGACTGGTGAGAAAACCCGTCTTCTCCAGACATAATCAAGTACCAGAAATTCGATTCTCTGCAGCCAATGGCAGGACAAAATGTGTCTTGAAATGACTTCGTTTACTCCAAGTACTGCTGCAGCGGAAGGACTGGTGAGAAAACCCGTCTTCTCCAGACATAATCAAGTACCAGAAATTCGATTCTCTGCAGCCAATGGCAGGACAAAAATGGCTCCCTAGTACTTTCACCTGGGGCCAGTAGACGCGGTTTCCCAACCAAGGAAACCTTTGTTTTAGTGCAAATTCTCGCACAAGCTCAAAGAAGTACCCTCGCAACAAAAAAAACCCCTCTCCCCCACTCACCTCCAGGGGGCATAAATACCGCCAGGTACTCTTCTGCAAAAAACCTCATTGTTTTACTGCAGGATATTAATATGCAAAGAAGAAAAGGAGTCTGGGGGCAAAGCTCTTGAGGAAGTTCAACAAACCCACCCTGGATTATTGGAGTGTCAATGAACTGGCCAAAAAAAGGGGGGGGGTTCTGCCAGGTGCAGAAATTAAGGTGCTAGATTAATGCACCCAAATGGGAAAAGGGAAGATGCCAATTCTGGCTTTGATCTCAGGGGGA